ATATTAGAAATAATTTCATCTATCATATGACTTTATTGTTATCGAATTTTAAATAATTAAATGATAGAAATAGAAGAAAAAACAAATAATCGTGTAATTTTTCAAGTTATGCGATTTTAAAAAATCACGTACTGATTTGGAACAATTCGTTACCTGATTCACATATTTTAATTACATGATTTCGTTATGTGACTTTGTGACGTGATTTTGTTCAGTAGAATATTTTTTACAAAATTGAATGAATGTTAAAAATACTTTTTAATATTAATTTAAGAATAAAATACTTTTATATACTATTATATAATATACTATTATATTATATAATATGAAGATATCGGAATAGATCGCATTTCGGATTAATGAATAACTGCTGCTATTATTTTTGTATTATAATGTAAAATTCCGTAGATCGATTTGTGTGCTGAAGAATTGCATAATTCTGTACTATCTGCCGTCGCTATTCAATCAGACATTGTACCTGCAACAGAATATCTGTTAAATGCATTGAGAAATAAAAAATGGCGCATTGACCAAAATCATCCGTGGTGGAAGGAACTCGCGGCGAAAGCCGAACAGAATAAGCAATCAGTTTACGTGAGCCCTGTCTTAGTTATCAATTGAATAAAGATTCTTTTTTTGTATGACTAACTTGCATACTTTCTTTTATTAATTATCGTTTATAGCGGATGTCTATGGACACTAGTGTGCCACTGAATTATTACACCGTATTTAAACATATTCAAGATGTTATACCAAAAGGTGAACATTTGCAGTATCAAGTTAAAAAAATTATATATGCTTAATATTATATTGTATAAGTGATTGTATAATATTATATCTATAAATTGTATAATTCTATAATTATAATATTTTTTCATATATACAGATTGCATTATTTGTTCCGAGGGAGCTAATACAATGGACATCGGACGAACCATTCTCTTGAACAATCTGCCTCGCCATAGACTAGATGCCGGTACGTTTGGCACTATGGGTGTAGGGCTTGGATTTGCAATCGCAGCTGCTCTTTATTGCAAAGATAATGCGCCGAAAAAAAGAGTAATTTGTGTGGAAGGAGACAGCGCCTTCGGATTCTCCGGCATGGAGATCGAAACCATGTTTCGGTAACATAAGCTATTGTCTGGGGCTGAAAAACGACTGTTATTCGGAATTAATTCTTTAATGCAATTTTATTGATTCATACAATCATTCGACATATAAATAAGTTAAAAAACGATAAATGTTCAGAAAAGGAGTACCATGTGATCCAATGACCTTGACATATGTTGTCAAGGTCATAGCTCTGAGTGACCTCCGACAAGTTTTAGGTGGCGGTCACTGTTTGTTAAAAAGTTATTAACAAAAAAAGTTTGAAAACTGACGTCTCGTTTTTTGAAACAAAAAAATCTCTGTTTTAAAATAGATGTCCTGCTTTAAAAACAAAAAATGAAAATGAAATCAATAAATGAATCAATAAAATTGCATTAAGGAATTAGTTCCTTTTAAAACCCCCAATAGACTATAATCTTAGTAGAATTATTAAGATAAGAAAAGTGTCATCATTTCACGAGCGAAGAATATAATCATCCTTTCTTTTCAGTTACAAACTACCGGTGATTATTATAATCGTGAATAATAATGGCATATACAGCGGTTTCGATAACGAAACCTTCAAACAGATACAGGCGTCCGGAGATCCTACGCAAGTGTACGCATTTCTCCACATAATCTTAATATAAAAAAAAATTATTTCAATTATTTAGATAATTTTTTTTTAACGTAAGGTTCATTGCAATCTGGATTATGACGTCAAAAGCAAGAAAAATACACAAAGAAAATTCTTGCAAGCTCTATATTAAAATATATTTTTTAAATAAAACATTTGCAATTGATAAAATAGATTCATAAAATATACCGAAACTCCCTTTATATTCCGGTAATAAAAAAATCTTATATTTGATTGAATTATGCTTAACCAGAAAATGAAACAATCTATATATACGAAAATGTCGAGGTTGATAGTTTGTGAATTATAATTGGTTAAAGATAGTGTGTAACTCGAAAACTATTATAGCCTCGATATTTTCGTATTAGGATTTTCATCTTAGAATGTTCAAAAGAATCCAGAAATAATAATAGAGGCTATAAAAGTAAAATGGTTTTTGACATAAGCATTTAAAGTTAGCTCATAATTAAAAAAATTGTTGTAGCCTCGACATTTTCGTATTAGGATTTTCGTCTCAAAATTACCTCAAGAATATGTCCTTAAGAGGAAATGCGGTAGTTGTGAGACATCTTGTATAATTATAAGACGTTTTGTAGATAATTAATTATATTTAATTTAATTTTAGAAATTTTTGACTTTATTAGTTTGTCTCATATTTGCAAGTCCAAATACCTTTACATTGGTTATTAAAATTACATTTTTAGGACACCTCCGTATTCACTAACATCTGAAACTCATTATGAGAAACTGATGGAAATGTTTGGCAAGAAAGGACATTTTTGCACTACTGTGGAGGATATTCAGCAGGCATTGAAATTATCTCTCAAAGTAAGATTATTATTAAGATAAGATCGTTATTCCTTCAAAAATTGAAAGGAAATGCATAAATTATAAAATCGTTTTAGGTGGTGGACAGTCCCAGTTTAATAAATATCATGATTAATCCGCAAGCAGATCGAAAGAAGCAACAATTCAATTGGCTAACAGAATCAAAATTATAGATGTGTCACAATCAAAACGTTTTATGAAAGCATCTATGATTTTCTCCAATATTTCTTTTCTCGGAAAATAATTTTTTACAGATCCTTAATTAACTCTATGTTATTCATATGGTTTTTTTTAACGTAGTTACTCGCGTAGAGTGTTTCTAACATTATATCTCAATTTTCAATATCACAATTGTTCTCTTTGATAATTTATGATTTTAAAGATTGATAATATTTTATTATATCCTTTAGATAAAGATAAATACAAATTTTTTAAATTGTAAAACAATTTGCGCTAAATATAACAATGTGTATAAGTACCTAAATAGCAGAGAACATTTATGACAAAATATTTATTATTATTCATTTTCTGAAATGTTATTATGTCTTATTAAATATCGAACCTTTAAGTATCGAATCTTTCAATTAATTTCTTAAACCTACATAACTTACAAATATATGTATAGTAACAAAAAGAGCCAGTAATATATATATATATAATATATGAACAAGTCAACCAGACAACCAAAATCTTGTTCAATCATGAAGTAATGACTTGTGGTAACGTAATCCTTTATATTCAACAGTAAAAGTAAATAGTAAAATATGAAGTAAAATTGGTGATAACAAATTCATCATTAGATGGCTGGAATCACGTTAAATCAATATTTTTTTTTAAGAAGAGTCCAATTTAGATGAAAACATTTTTTTCTAGATAAGAACGTTGTAAAGTGTGACATTGAGAATAAATTTATATATGTCTAGTGTTATTTCATTCGGTCTCTTATTGTTGATGAGTTATAAGATGTATATAAGTCGATGACTCAATAAAAATACAAGTCACAGAAAAAAAAATTTATTTTTATATGTGATATCCCACTGGGGGTCAACAATCAACAGACTCTCTTCATATCCTGAGAGATACAATATCTATTGGACAACTTTTTAGCTATTAATACTTTATAAAAACATAGTAAATGTATGTGAATTATCTGGATATTTAAAACAGTAGAAAGATATATGATGTACAATAAATAAAATGTAGTTAAAAATTATATGTTTTAGGAATTTATTTATTTAATTGGTCCAACTTCTCTGTAACATTCGTGGATGTGATTGAATCCAATAAATTTGATTCTAAATTGTTTAAATTACGCTTGTTCTCACGGATAATCTCTACCACATTCACTCCTATTTTTTGAACTTTTTTAGACAACGTTTGATTCGTCGCGTTGATTACTGTACGCAAGTGTCCGTTTTCCTCCGTAAGTTCCTTAATTACCTCCAGCTCTTTTTTTCTGAAAGTTAAAAAATCAATCCAACTGCAATTCAACTGTCATCGTGACTGATCATTATCAGTTTCACAAAAAGCAATTATAAAAATTTTACATTTTCAGACTAACGTCATCGATGGAAATTAATGTCTTCTGGATTTGTATCTCGATAGCTGGACTTATATTATCAGTTTCCATATTGTGATCAGATTTCATCAGATCTCATTGCTGTTTTTATAGAAGTTATTTCATGTATTATTCATGTATTCACATCTAGGTAATTGTGAGAGATGGGCTTACCGATTTCGATGAAATTCGGCTTATTCGACGCGTTTTTGCACGAAATAAACGAATACGGCAGAAAAAAGTGTCGCTCTGCCCTGCGAACCGAAATATAAAGCTGGTTCTACATTAGTCGCATCGCAGCATCGCAAGCGTTGCGGTCCAATCAACGACAAGCTAGCTCG